AGTCTGATTAAGTACGAAGAACCACGGAAGGGCGTTTTTGTTTTAAATTTTGTTTTGTTTTGTTTTGTTTTGTTTATTCCAAGGACAGAATGTCAGGAAAGGCTGAAAGCAGAGGTGTGCTAGCAAATGTTTAACAACTTCTTTAGAGGATACACTTTTTTACTTTAATTATTAACATTCTCTCAATCACTTTATTAAGTCTAAGCCATCAATAGCACAATAACTCGATCCCTTTTTGGAGTGTTTGCTGATTTCAAAGGTGTAAATGGTCACACCAAAAATTTTAAATCCACTAAAGGTTCCAGCTGGCTTCAGCACACCCTGGACTGAAAAAGGACTTCAGAGGTCATCCAACTGAATCCTCACGTGCAGAGACAATGTAATTAGTATTGCTTTATGAGCTTATTACATAGATGGAAAGATCAGATGGGATATACATTAAAAAATCCTACAGTATGAGGCATTATATGATAAATGCCATGAAAGGTATGGTAAGAATAATGCTTACATTTCCATAATTACAGTTGTATCTTATCCACCTAATGTAGTTAATAAAACCTACAATGCTTACCTCACAGGGTTATTGTGATAATCAAATGAAATTAGGCACATAAAGAACATTGTCAACTACAAAATATTAGCAATTATCATTATTATAGTGATTATTAATCCCAGTGCTATGTATGTAGTAAAAGAAATAAATTCCAGTGGCTCCCTATTACCTCCAGGATCAAATATAAAATCCTATTTGACTTTTAAAGTCTTTTATAATCTTATCTTTTCCTGCCTTTCCAGTCTTCTTACCCATTTTTTTCCCCCTCCAATTGCTCTTCAATCCTGTGGCCCAGGCCTCCTTAATATTCTTCAAAAAAGACACATTATCTTCTAATTCCAAGACTGGCTGTCCCTCATGGCTGGCATTTTCTCCTTCCTTATCTCTGCCTCCTGGCTTCCTTCAAATCTCAGTTTAATATTCACTTTCTCTAAGTACCATTTCCCCAATCCTCCTTAATATTAATGCCTTTTATCTTCTGAGACTATCTCCAGTTTATCCTGGATAGATCTTGTTTGTACATTTTTATACATACATGTGCATACACGCTATGTATATACTTCTAGTTTATACATAGCATGACATCTCTCCCATTAGACTTTGGACTTCTTGAGAGAGGGACTTTTCTTCATTTCCAGTGCTTAGCACAGTGCCTGCACATAGCAGGTACTTAACAAATGCATGCTGACTCAACTTGATCTCAATATCTTATTGGTACATTTAACTTAATATATAACCTTTATCCCTTTCACTCCTCGGGGTCTCCTCTTGTCTTCCCATACTTCTGTTAATGGTATGACCAATCTCCTAATCACCTAGGCCTCATTCCTCCAAGTCATTTATGATGTTTCCTTTACCCCTCCACCATCCGTCTCTCATTCCAGTTGATTCCCCTTTCCAAATGTCTTTCCCATCTGTCTCTTCAGCAAATACCCTAATCAGGCCCTATTACCTCATGTCTGAACTATTGCACTGACCTCAATCCAGACTACACACCACTGAGAGATAAATCTTCGTGATGTTCTCTTTTGATCCTGTCACTTCCTTGCTCAAAATTTTTTAATAGTTCCACATTGCCTACAGGATGAAATCCAAACTCTTGAACCTTGCATTTCAAGCCTCTACACAGGCTGGCCCCAATTTTTCTTTCCAGCCTTATCTACCAAAAAATCCTACATGAAAGAGCTGCTCTGCTGCTCACTATTCCTTAAAATACACCTCGAATTTTTCTAACTCTATGCCTCCCATTCTCCCCAGCTTCCATGGTGTCCCTTTTCCTCAAACATAATTAGACTCTTTATTTGAAGGCCCAGATTGAATCAAATCTCTTCTGTGAAAATTTGCTTAAATATTTCATTGAAAAGTATCCATCCTCCTCTGAAGTACTGGAGAAAGAGGCAGCCATGGAGTTGGAAAAGCATTCTAGATCATGAACCAAAAGGCCGAGTTCCATTTATGATTCCTCCTGTTATTAGCTATGTGACACTGGGCAAGTTTGCTCATCTGTAAAGTAAAAAGAGTAATTAAGTCCCGTCTGCCTCACATGGCTGTGAAGATCAAAATATGCTATGCAAGTATAAAGCATTATGTTTTTATTCATCAAACATTTATTAAAGGTCTACTAGGGGGAACAGAGGATGTGATATTGTCAGACCCATGCTTTAGGAAGATCAACTTAATAGCTGAGTGGAAAGCCGGGAGACCAACGAGCGGGCTACTTCAATAGTCCAAGCCTGAACCCAGAGTGGAAGGAGTGTGAGAGGAGAGAAGGGCACAGATGCAAAAAATGTCATGAGGACAGAATGTTCAGTAGCCAGTCAGAGATACAGGACTCCCCACGGTAAGAATTTGCTTTTAAATGGAGATTGAATGAAGCCTTTTTGAGAAAGGAGACTTGCTTTTAGAAAACTCTAAAGAAGCAGATGATTAGGACATTGCTGACATTGTGGTTGTTAACACAGCAATGACTAGAAAAGAAAAAAAAAACAATGATCACTTGGAATTCTCCATAGGATTGGGATTTAAAAACAACAGAATGGGCAGCTGTGAACATTATACTGTGGGGTATACTTGGCACTGGGTCCAGGCTGGCCAGGAGACTTGGGACCAGAAGTCTAGCTCCCAGGAAAGGTCATGGGAGCATAGGATTTAGATGTAGGGCTTATAAGCTTTTTTTTTTTTTGCATCATGGACCCCTTTGGTGATCTGGTGAAGCTTATGGGACCCCTTCTCAGAATGATGTATTTAAATGCATAAAATAAAATGCTTAGGATTACAAAGGAAACCAATTACACTGAAATATATTTATGGAAAGAGGTTTAAATTAAAAAAAACCCTCAAAATTAAAAAAAATGTTTAAAGTTGTCTTTACATGTAACTGGGGAAAAAATAAAATGTTAAAAAGATTGAAAAACAACAACAAATAAACCCTTTCCATGGACTCCAAGTTAAGTATGTCTGGTTTAGAGCTTAGTAGGGTATAAAAGATGGTCTGGTCTGGATCCATCACTTCATTTTTTTTTTCATATGAGGCCCAGAGACTTACCGTGTCTTGCTCCAGATCAAACATCATAAATAGCAGAGTCAGTACTGGATTAAAACCCCACATCCTCTGACTCCAAACCAGAACTCTGTGTCTATTACACCAACCTGCTTAGCACATTCTACAGGTCTAAGCAGAGGAGGGCTAACAAGGATGGCTTGCATTTATAAAGTACTTTTTTAGAATTTGGTCTTCACCACTACCCTATGAAAAAGGCACTAAAAATTTAAAATACAAAATTTTCAGATGAAGTAATGAATTGGCGAAGGCACAACTGAAAATAAAATAAATGGAGGATTAAAACTCAAAGCCAGGTGTTTTGACTTGAAGTCCACGGAGGCACTAAGGTTGCACGAAGCAAGGAGAAATGGGTCCAGAAGTTAAGGGGCATGAAGTCAGCAAGAGCTGCCCTCCTGAGCAGGGTGAGGAAACTGCTGACTGTCTAGCTGACACGTGTGTGTGTGCTTGCGCGTGCGCGAGTGTGTGTTTTCATTCCATAGAACCCAAGTCCCTTTCTCTTTTATACTTCTCTGAATCTTTAGATTTTCCTTATCCCTTTTAGGATACCTGGAACAAACAAAGGCATTAACACGTTAACAATGATCATATCAACAAAGGGATTCTTATAGATATTTTCTTGTGTTGCTGCTATTTGCCTCTCCCTGGGTAGTTTCTTAGTTATTAATTACATTTCAATTTAATATTTTTATATGAGGCCCTATTGACTTTTTTTTTTACTAAGATGTGAAAATAAGTAGATTGTCTTTTTCTAAGTACTATATGTTTTTAACTGATTTCATGGACTGCATCTATAACTTGCTCTTCTCTTGGAAAACTTCCAACCCTTATAGATCATTCTATTGTCATGTGCCCATGCTTATAAAATGTGCCTTGGACTAGAAGAGAATGTAAGCTATAATAAGCTAAGTGACAGGCAGTTACAACTTTATTTAAACGTGGAATATACAAGAAGCACCAGAGAAAGGAAGGACGACTCCAGCTGATTTTTTTTTCCTTTTCGGAGAAATTTTCCACAAGGAACTGAAAACGTTTAAGGGATTCCACAGTGTTCAAAGCCTTCTGAATTTGTAAGTTTCCTTATTGAGGGTAGAAAGTGGGAAGAAGAAATGTTCATGAGACAATAAAACTTTCATTTTATACGGATTTAAAGTTCTTGTATAGGGTGAAACTTTGCCCCCTGGACTACACAAAGCATGAAAACTACTTGGGTCCCAATTCAGTCAAGGTTGCCAGGGCTGGGGACCGGAATGGAAACTTGTTGGGCAGTGTGCAAAAAGTCCCGAATTAGGAGTGAAGAGCTCTGAGTTCAGATCTTGATTTTGCCTTGGGCAGGTTACTTCACCTTTTTGCGCCTCAGTTTGAGCCTTCATTTGTAAAAGGAGGGAGTTGAGTTAAAAAAAATGACCCTTTCAGATCCTCTGGTGCAGTATGGGGCCCGCTAAAGTCCAGAAAACTGTAGATTCCCATCTGATCCCACTCACACCGACCTAGAGAGAAGCCAGTTTCTACTCGCCCTCCCTCCTACCCGCCTTTTTCACTCTCCTCCCCAGGCACTCAGAATTGCTTCCCTGAGTCTAGGCAGATCTTCGTGCTCTGCTACACGTAGCTGCCGCCAGCTCTTTAAATATTGTCCACAGTGAGCAAACACAACCCAGACACGGGGAATGGAAAGTGAATGGGAGGGAGACAGACATGCCCCACACCCACCCACCCACCGACCGCCCAGGCGCGCACCCGGAGAAACTTACACAGACGCTTCAGTGTCAGTCCGGCCAATAGCCGCCGGGAGGGAGGAGGTGGAACGGGGACAAGGAGGGGGAGGGGAAAGGAGGGGATGGGCAGCCCAGGCTCTGACCCCTCCCACCCCCGACGGGTAAAGTTATAAATTACCCTCCAGCAGTGAACCGGAAGGTTGGACCTTATCCTTTGCCTATTGCACCCAGCAGGGCTGGGGGAGATATTTCTACCTTTTGCAGACAGGACTGAGTCATCCGTCTCTATCTACCCGCCCCGTCCCCATATCCTTCCCTCCCCACTCCCACTCTGCTTCTCTCCACTGTCGGCTTCCGATCCGAGGGGTGCCGCAAAGCTTGCAGCCAGCCTCTCGCACCCCACCCAGAGGCTGAACAGCTGGACTCCAGCAGCTGTCAGAGGGCCGGCTGGCGGACTTGGGGGTGGGGTGGGGTGGGGTAGGGGTACTTTGTCTCGCGAGAAGTACGGAAGAGTAGGGGGGTAGGGGGGCGTAGGAGAGCTCCCGGGCTGCTCCGGCTGCTCCTCGCAGACCCGAGCTGGTCCTCTCTCTTGGGAGGGGCGAAGATGGCGAGAGATAAGCTCAAGCCCCCCATCCTCTTCTTGGCCCTGTCCTTACACCTCGTGAAGCCCTGCGCTGCTGCAGAACACCAGAAGCCGTCCATCATCCCCACAGGTGAGCGTTCCCCACCTTCCCGGGGAGGGGGAGCTCATGCATACACTCCCCCAGTCTCTCCAACCTCCGGGTCTGCCCTGGCTGCTGCTGCGGGGCTGCTTAGAAGGGACCTTTCTTCTGGAGGTGGGTGGGACGGGTTTCACCACGCAGGTGATGTATGCAACTCCTTACTCTTAAGAAACCTGGTCAACTCCAGATCTTGGAGCTCTAAGTAAAATACCCAAATGATGCCTATCTTTTCCTGGGAGGGTTGCGTATGAACCCCAGCTGGGAGACTTTCATTCAGTCTTCCTGTCCCCAGGACGCACATGCCTCTTCTGGTACCTTCCTGCTTTCTTTTTTGATCCTCAGATAGCATGCAGCAAAACCTCCTTTCTCTGTATTGTATGCGCCTCGCCTTGTCCAGAGGACTTAAACTTGGAGATCAATGCTCTGATTGATGGTGACACATTCCTCCCCGCGCCCCAGGAAGCAGCCTGTAACACTTACCTCTTGCCAAGAACAACCCTCACCACAGGGCTTGTTTTCTGTTAGGCTGCTTCGCTTCCCACCACCTAGCCGCCGCGGTTTCTCTCCTTGGGGACCCAGCTGGCTGGAGTGGAGCCTCTCTACCCCTCCTTCAGCACTCCCACCTTTATTTTATTTCTTTCTCCAAGGCTTGGATTGTAGCTTGCCTTCTTCCTCCCCCCTCTCCTCTCCCTCTCCACCTCCCCTTCTCTCCCTCTCCCCTTCTTTCCTTTCCCTTTCTCCTCCCTAGTTCTCTACTTCTTTCTCTCTCCCCTTCCCCTCTGCTACTATCCTTGTTCACGGGAGCTGGATTACAAGCGAAGAATCCAGTCCAGTGCATGTAAAACAAAACTTTTTTTGCATTCATCTAGTTTAAAGGGAAGCGCCCAGCACATGTTTGTCAAAACATGTCCCAGTGCCATTTGTTGGCAATGTGAAACGGCGTAGTTTCCTGCCTTTTCCTCTGCTCCAAACTCCAACTTTGAACTCCGATTCATTTCTGAAATTAGATATCATTTTAAAATACTTCTCAGCTGCACTGATTTTTTTTTTTAAATCTGGTAATACTTTTTGACCCAGTCTTTTATGGAAGTTAATAAAGGCTCTTGTCTGCTGAAGCGGTCTTTAAACATGAGGAAGGAAATTGCAATTTCAGGATTGGCTTTAGTGGGTAGTAGGTAGTATCTGCGCTAATACATGTTGCAGTCACTTTTTGTTTTCATTTGCAAAGGATCCTGAAGACATGAATGAACTAAACTGTTCATTCTTTTACATTCCTGACCCACAGTGCCAGTTTTGTTTGCCCTGAGGGACTCTAGGTTTCCTCTGAGAGCTCCTTGGTTTAAAATACCCTCTCCCCCTACCCTTTGGCAGTTGTATGAGGCAATTTCTAGTTAAGTTTTTGAACCTCTCATAGTTCCTAAATCTAAATCGAGTTTTCATGTGAAAATATATCAGTGTTAAACCTAAAAGCTTTACGGGTAAATAACCTTCAGAAGTTCAGATGCAGAATTGTTATATCAAAACTAGTTTGAGAAAGAATAAACCACTTCATAGAATCTCAAATTTAGAACACATTCAAATTCTACCCAATACAACCAATTGTGTGTATTTTCATCTTTTTAATTGTCTCTTTACCTGTATATACAAACATATATGTAAGAGAATGCTATTTGCGTATTCAATGTAGAATCAGATGACCTGGATTATCAAATCCTAGCTCTGCTAGCTATATATGCATACCTGTATATTATACATCAATATGCATATATATATATATATATATATATATATACACACATATATAGAAAGTTTCATATATATCTAAATATATGTATCTTTGTGTATGTATACACATATACATACATCTGTGTATATATGCATATATATGTGTGTATATATGTATATTTCTTCGTTTATTGTAATGCATCCCTTTGCTGCAGTTTCTGGGTTCATGTGTCAAAATTAATCACCTTTTCCCTAATCTTATCCTTTGTTCTCCTTGTTACCCCTCCCATCCCTTATATATAATAATTATAACTTACATTTATAAAGAGCTTACTATATACTAGGCACTCTGCGAAACACTTTACAACTATTACCTCATTTGGTCCTCACAACAACCCTGGAATGTGGGTGCTATTATTACCCCCATTTTGCAGATGCTGAAATTGAGGTAAAGAGGAGTTAAATAACTTGCTCAGTCACAGGAGGGCAGGTTTGAACTCAGGTCTTCCTAATTCCAAGTGGGCAGTCAGGTCAAGTGACTCAGTGAACTCCACAGAGTCATCCAGATTTTTATCTCAGTGTGATAGCTAATTAATTTGATGTTAGAATACCCAGAGCAAAGGAATTTCAGAGATGAGGGCTTTCCAAAGATAATGAATGTATTTAGAATATGTTAAAAGCCTCACAATTGGTAACAATTTATTGAGAAAATTAAATTATGGTTCCAGGGGAAAAAATTATCAATTGTATAAAGCATAGTTTGTAACAGTAGCCAATAAAAGAGAAAAGGGGATGTTTTATTCAAACATATTATTTATATATACATATATATGTATATATAAATACATAGTGTGACAAGCTAATGAATTATAACCAAAAATGCACACTAATATAACCAATAAAAGGTCCATTGTATTCCATTTCCTCCCAGGGAATAATTTTAGTATTTAGCATTTGTAAATTTGTAAATTTAATATTTAGCATTATTAGATGAGAGCTAAGTAGTTATATAAATTTGGAAACCGGACCTCTTTTCCTCCTCTCTCAAAATGGGATTAACCCTGAGTCTGAAATAGAGAATAGCCCCCAAATGGATATGATTTTGTCTTTTTTCCCCCTTTTTTTGACCCCTCATGCCACTCTCAACACTTTAGACATATCTTATCTGAAAAATAAGGGGTTTGGGTTGGATGTTCACTTTCAAATATAATGTTCTGTGGTTCTATAGTAGCAGGGGAAAGATAAAAATAATTTTTTAAAGTATGCCTTATCTACCCCCCCCGCCCCCACATTAGGATATGCCCTGTTCCTTTATAGTCTTCTAACTACTGATTTCACTGTTGTGAGCTTCTGACTGTTGGTGTGAGTAGCTTTATATTGTACTTAATGAAAGTTTTGTTTTTTACTGAGAGATTTAGTGTTTTTCCTGTTATCTACAATTCTTTTTTTTTTTTTTGGTATAGTCTCTATTAGACTGGAAACAGTCTAAACAGGCTAACAGGTTAAAGCACCCTTAAGCAGTAAGAGTGCTGAATTAGAAGTCGTTTAAGACTTTGGTTCCAGTACAATTGTCAGACCATTACTAGTTATGTGACCCAGGAAAAATCACTAAATTTTTCTCAACCTCAGCTTACTAACCTATAAAATGTCATTGATAACCACTGTATCACTTTATAGGGTTGTCTTCAAAAATCAAATGAAATGGGTCAGCTAGGTGGCAGAGTGGATAGAGTACTGGACCTGGAGTCAGGAGGACCTAAGTGCAAATCTGGCCTCAGACCAAACACTTGACACATACTAGCTGTGTGGCCCCAGGCAAATCACTTAACCCCAATTGCCTAAAAAAAAAAAGAAAAAGAAATAATGTATGTAAGGTGCTCAATATTATTAATAGCCAATGATAATATTTTCTTTCAGAATTTTTTTTTATAAGGATGATACAGAAAAAAATAATTTCTGGCATCATTTTGTAAAGTGTTTTTCCAGACAGAATCTTACAAGGTGATTCTCAGTGATTCGGGTTCCACTTCCATCTTTCTTGATCTCTCTAGACTTCAGGAAGAGAGTAGGAGGGAACAGACTTGCTTCATTCAGACAAAGCATTTGAAACATATCTGTCTCCTATGTCTTGGGTCACCATATATATTCACTGGCTCAACCATCTTGACTGTGTCTCATAAGATCTGGGGAGACATTTAGAATGATTAGAACAAAACTAGAAGAGTTTCAGGCATTTCTTTCAAACCAGGTTCATCTATAAACTTTTAAATATGATGTAGTATGCTTAGAACCATAGACATTAATAGATGGAAGAAATCTTAGAGATCATCGAATCTAATCCCTTTGAGAGGGAAGAAAGGGAAGGCTTGCCTATACCTACTATGAAAATTGGCAATTAAGATTTGAGGGGTCACAGTGAGATGTGAGGGGATCTGGAGACAAGTTCGTGTTTCAGTGTCCACCCACCGCTTGGATTGATTCCATGCAGCCAAGAAGAGGAACTCAGAGTCCTGATTTACTGGTCCAGACTTTGTCCACGTCACCATGTTTTACCCTAACACTTTTCTGTCTGTGCAAAGCAATTCAACATACCATTGTATTCTGTCACCCTAAATAAGAAAGATAGATAGCTGTAGTATCTTCCTAGAACTCTGGACTCTGAGTATCTAAATTGTTTGGTGGGGATAGGGGAATAAAGAACATACAAGGTAAATCAAAGACCAAAAAGTACCAAGTTAAACTTGGAAAAGAAAAAAATTAGCAGATGGAAGGAAAAGAGATCTACTGGAAAGACAATTAGAGCTTGGAGAAAGAACTCCTCTTGAGTTGCCGTTCTTTAACTTCAATGTCTGTTGCTGTTTTTTAGGGAAAAGTTGAGTAGTACTGATCTAGACAGTAGCATTCTGGCTCTGGGCAATTAGAAGGCCTGTTTTTCATTTTGGATTTTTCCAGTGCTTCTGATGACTTTCTGCATTCAGACATAGTGCCTCTGTTTCATCTTCTGAAAGGGCGATTTGACTCAAATTTGCTGTTTACTCAGGTTTCTCTACTGGTCTTATGATTAAAAGATTATAAATCACATTGATCTCTTGGTAAAAGGAGCCTCAAAGTGTTTATGTCTCATAAAAGTTGGGTTAATATGGGCCAGTGTTCTCCATTTCAGGAAAGACCAATTTTCTTTTCAGTTGGAGTCTTTATTATCACCCTCACAATTAGTATGAGCTGAGTTCTTTTGGGTCTTTAGGCATCAGAAGTGCCTTTTAGTA